AAGTTAAACAAAAAAAAATAGAAACAAAATAAAAAATAAACAAATAAATAAAAATCTATGAATTATTCATGCAAGTTCTACAATAATGTGCTGCACATTTCTTGACATTTACTCCCTTACAAGTGTGATGCTGTAAGTGCCATTTTTGCTTAAAACAAACAAAACAAATTACAAGTCAAGTCAAAATAACCCGGTACAAGTTTTTCCCCCTGAAAGAATTTAATATTTTTAATCAGCAAGGATGCATTAAATTGATCAAAAGTGGCAGTAAATAAATTTATAATGTTACAAAAGATTTCTATTTTAAATAAATGCTGTTCTTTCATTAAAAAAAAGTTTTCAAAAATATTAAACAGCACAAAAGTTATTAACACTGATAATAATAAATGTTTCTTGAGCAGCAAATCAGCATATTATAATGATTTCTGAAGGATCATGTGACATTGAAAACTGGAGTAATGATGCTGAAAATTCAGCTTTGATCACAGGAATAAATTACATTTTAAAATATACTGACATCGAATACAGTTATTTCAAATTGTAATAATATTTCAGATTTGTTTTACTGTAGTTTTAATCAAATAAATGCAGCCTTGGTGAGCATAAAATACTTTTGGAAAACACAAAACTTATCAAGCCCAAACTTTTGAACCGTAGTGTGTTTTCCGTGCTAATCAACATTATGCCTGTCGATACAGTTTAACTTGTATTGAACCCATTTTGCCACTTTATACATGATTAGAGCATTTATACATTCTAGTCCTGCTCGTCATCGGTTTTCAGGCTGAATGTTACTTGTGCACAACAGAAAAATCCTTTGAGACTCTTTGTTTTTCCTGCACACTGTGGTGTATATTTTTGACTATTTGTTAGACTGAAGCAGTCTTCTCTATTTCTTCCTCTCAATAATCGTAACCTCAGCTGACAAGTCCGGAAATCGAAACATTCAACATTCAAACCATTATGGGTTTACACAAAATCAGCATTTACTGACATAATGTCAGGTATTTGTGCTATCACAAGAAGAAGTTCAGGTTTACATCAAGATTGAGAAAGCTGCATTTTTTGTCTCGATAACTATATTCTGGAAAACAGTAACAACCTGTGATATTATAACTAGATACTTCAAAACAGGATCCCGGGTGAACAGTCACACCGGGCTTCTCTACAGGGAATATAAAGAGTGCCTCAACACTGCTGACATTCAAAGTGTGGGCACCAGCTGCTGTCTGTACCAAAGTAAGCTCACTTCTGCTTCAGAAGGTGGATGATATCAATCTACCACACACACAACACTATTTTAAATGTTCCCAGATAGCTTTCGGATGAGTTTCACGGGCAGGCCTGTGACAATCCCATGATGCATCGCAGCATGCTACATTTACGTAGTTAAGTAGAGTGTTTCCTACACCTGCTAGATTTCAGCATCCCATTCCTGAGGGACACTTTAGGGTCTTTAAAATATTAATATAACTAGTAATAACTTAGGAAAAGGTATTTATATGGCTATTCTAATACTATAAAGAAAATTGAACAATGCAAGGCAGTATTTAAGGTGCATTACCTCGCCATACAGGAGAGGAAACCTCACAAGCATGGTTCATATAAACCCTTTGCGATTTGAATGTTTCTGATCTAGCACATGCGATAGTTGTAGAAGCGAATAGCACTTAAATGTACAGTAGAATGGCTTATTATAAGGAAATACAGCAGTTTTATAGAACCAGATTGACCTTTAGACTTAAAAAAGGTATAATATAAATCACCCTATGGAGAGTAAAAAGCAATCTGCTCTGCATTTTCCGCCAGTTGTAAACTAATTAATATCAGAGAATGTTTTTCTGCTTTAATAAATCAGATTAAGAGCTGACCTGCATGTGCAAGGCTGTTGTAGCTGGCAGCAAGGGAATGCTGAGGAATACGGTTTCATTTAGAAACCCATAAATATAAGCTGAGCTTTGAATGTAGATCTAGAACAATACAGATTGAGTTCCTTCCATTAGAAAATACATGATGGACTGTTAATCTTTCAGTGGGACGAGTGAAGATTTTTCCGTATATTACTAAGCATTTGTAATAGCACTCAGGAACGTTTGCTGACTCTTGTCATTAACATAAAGATGAAGTGTGATGAGGTTTTATCCTAAAGTGTTACAAGAAATTTGAAATGAATGATTTTAAGGAAGGATCGGTTTCTACCAACCATCCTATAAAAGACGAGAAATGTTTGATTGGTGTACATTTCACAGACAATTGCATCAGCCTGTTATCATATGATACATATGAAAATGTTCTACTTTTGTTGAGTTTTTAGTTACCATTATAGAACATTTACAGTTATGTAACACTATTATATAAAGCAAAATAGGAGTGATGATGTGAATGTATTGAAATATGACAGGTATCATGTACTACAGTCTGAGGTTTATTACTCTTTCAGAGTTCACATTTAAAGAAATTCTGTTGCATTTTACTGTATCAACTTTGTCTCAGACGTTTCTCCTAGCATTCATATGAGAAACTGAAATGAATACAAATGAAACAATTGTTAATTAACGTGCTAAAATTTGCTGATAATTTACTCCCTCTCAAGCCATCCAAGATTTAGAAGAGTTTGTTTCTTCATCAGAACAGATTTGTCGAAATTTACAATTCCATCACTTGCTCACCAATGGATGCTCTGCAGTGAATGGGTGCCGTCAGAATCCAAACAGCTGATAAAAACATCACAATAATCCACAGGTAATCCACACCAGTCCAGTCCATCAGTTAATGTCTTGTGAAGTCAAAAGCTGTGTGTTTGTAAGAAACAAATCCATCATTAAGGCATTTTAACTTTAAACCTTTGTTTCTGGCTAAAATGCGAGTCCATAATAATGTTTCATCCAGTGAAAAAGTCCATCTCCTGTTATCCTCTCATATTAGAATCCACCCACATGTTTGATTTGGACTGTTTTGGCTTGTAAACAGTGCTTGATCTGCGCATATTTCTCTCCTGATTCAGACTCATCACTTTTTTCACTTGAGAAATTCATATTATGGACAGATCACTCATATTTTAGCTGGAAACAATGGTTTATACTTGAAACATCTTGATGATGGATTTGTTTCTTACAAGCATGCAGTTTTTTTCCTTCATACGATGTAAACTGATGGACTGGAGTGGTGTGGATTACTGTGATGTTTTTATCAGCTGTTTGGACTCTCATTCTGACGGCACCCATTCACTGCAGAGCATCCATTGGTGAGCAAGTGATGGAATGCTACATTTCTCCAAATCTGATGAAGAAACAAACTGATGAGTAAATGTTCAGCAAGTCCATTTTTGGGTGAACTATTCCACTGAGCAAAAGTCTGCATTCAATCTTATTGCTGTCTTGGAGAAACAAATGAAATATGAAAGAGATCCTATTTGTGATTTTTATTTCTTATGAGTTTTTAATGAGCCAAGATTCACCTAATACAGATTGTAGAAACTCTCTGTGAACAAAATAAGTCAAACTAATCCTGTGGTTGTACATCAGATAGAAGCGAGTTACTCAGAACATTGTGTTCCCAATCTATTGCTGCAGAGAAGATACCCCATGCCTTAATGTAAAGTACACAAGCAGAAACGTTGCTGGTATTCACAGTTTGTATTTGAAATGTAATGAATCCTTTATGTATTATATGTGTTATACAGCAAATAGGTGCATATTGTGTAAAATCTGTCATATTGTTTGTTTGATGCTTATTCATCTATTCTAGCCCATTGTAACCATGTGATCTCTGTGCTATGTGAACGTGTTATCATACATTGCCTTTCATTGCTAAGATGATATAGATTGCTGAATCCAGTCTCCATGAATAAGTGTGGGAATCTGTATGACTATGATACAGATAGACAATTTGGAATAGTATGATTAAAAAAATATGTACCGAAAAGAAAAATGATCAGTTAGGTGCACATTATACACTTTTTAAATCTTGACTACCTTGACATGCTGTGTGCAAATAGGCTAAGGTTTTGGTTTGCTATATGAATGGTAAAAAAAAAAGAAAAAAGATGTGCACTGTGCAGCACAATATACTGCATACAGTGTCCTCCAAAGTAACCATGCACTTCCAAGCAGTTTCAGCCACTGAAGCATGTCTACTATTTTATTTCACTCTCAGATAAGATACTTAATCAGGGGTTAAAGCAGAAGAATATACAATATGTAAGTAAATAATATAATTAAATTATTAGAAATAGTTGCTTTTAAATCCTATAGGAGCCCATTTTAATGAGCTCTAGGTCCTAGTGCCACTACTGCAAAGAAGCACAAACCAAACAGAGTGTCAGCAGCACCACGAGATGTTGTTTTTGCTGCACAATTACAATAATGTAAGGCCAGTGCAGCAAAGAAGCCATGAAAGCCTTGAAATCAATTCCCATTTGTATGGGAAACGCATCACTTCCATGAGCTGGTATTGGGGAGGGGGAGTTTGTATTTTCAGGAAACCTGCAGCATGTGTTCTTGAAATGTGTAAATAGTGTTTAATAAACACAAACTAGCAGTTTGCATTTGTGTTTTTTTTTATTTTTTATAGAACCTGCCCCCTTTTCACTGCCATTAGTTTGCACTGCTATTGAGATGGTCCTCACCTCAGAACACAAGATCCAGGGGGCAAGGTTGGATCCAGATCCAACTCCTCCCACCTTACATATACCTAAACCTACCCGTCTCCACCCCCTGATACCTAAACCCACCCATCTCCACCCCTAAATGTGGATCCAACCCCGCCCCCTGGGTCTTTGTTCTGCAGTGAGGGGCTACTGGTGCTATTAGCAAACACCACTGGTCTATAGATGCATCAATGAATTTTTATTTGTTGTTGGTGCATCAAATAGTTTTTTTTTTGTCCCCGTCTGTTTAGTTCAGTTTAAGCATTCTGAAAATTCTTCCACCATGGTTCCATAAAATGAAAGTTAATTAAGGCCTATTTAATGAAATATACATAAATGAAATATAATTTTCTATAGGTGACATATCATGTTATCTTTATTGAAATATCACATATGCTATGTGTATTTTAGCACAAAAAATAGTTTCATGTTGAGAAACTGCATTAATCATCTGAATTTAAAACCATTTTAATTTCAGCCTACCTACATTAAGGCTAAATCCAGTTTAGATCAGATTAGATAAGACAAGGCTCAAATGAAAGAAATGAATTGAAGTTTAAAGCCATTCTCAGTGTCACTGTGTATAATGCACAACTGATCACCCTTCAATATATGAAAATTATCGGCTCAGAATTTCGGCCCGATTTCGCTTTCGTTTTTAGTAGCCTACATCTTCATTAAAGCATTAAATAGGCATCTTTTCATTAAAGAGACACTGTAAATTATTACAGGAAGAACTACCTGTTGCCATGTGGCACCTGCAGTATTAAAAAAAAAAAAACTTGGCACTGCCAAACCAACAACAAACAAACTTGATTGACGCATCTATAGACCACTAAGGTGTCTGCAAATAGAAGTGCAAACCAATAGAAGTGAAGAGGGGGCGGGTTCTAATGTGTTTCTCGATTTAACTTTGTAACGTAATATTATTAGCTTACTATTTTAGTCGACAGCTAAAGACTGTTTGAAAGCATACAGCTCAACGTCAGCTACTAATATCAAAGATTTGTCAAGAATTTCAGGTACAGTAGCCTAAATGATATAGAAATGGTGAACGTTATCAAAAACTTTGGGTTGTCAACAAACAAAACAAACAGAATATGATACAGTCTAGATTTCTTCAAACATAAATGCCTTAAAATTGCACGTAAAGTATGTTTTACATACGCATAATGTGACAGAGAGTGAAAATAGTTATTTACTCTCACCCATATTTCTCTGTCTCTGTTGAAGGCTCGGTGGAAATGCATTTATTTTACACGTCGTTTGTTTTGTGCGTCCTCTCTGCATGTCACATGACCACATCCACCTGCGATGAGCTCCTGTCTTCAGAAGATGCTGAGTTCTGCAAGTAAGACTTCATAATGTTGTCATTCCGTCCTGTGAGAATTTTAGTATGACCAATATTCTATTTGATTATTCAAATCGGTAGGATAGTATGTGTACTTAGACAGCACTGATATAGATCAGTAATTATCTGGGCCAGGCCAAAATGTTTATTGGTTTAATATATTGGTCGGCTTAGCAATTAGTCGTTCCCTTAGTTTTAACTATTACTGTTTGTCAGTTCCAATACTATGGGAATACAGAATTATTTTTTATATAAAAGTAGCATACAAAGTAGCAAAAACACCCTGAATGTTTCCTGAAAATACTGTAAAAATGAATGAAATGGAAGTAAATTCCTTCTTTAATGTATTAAATAGGTTATTTTTTCCTGCTGGGATCAATTCATTAAAATTCCAGTAGGAATCCAAAGCAAATAGTCTTTTAGCATTCCTTTAGGAGTTTTGGACTAGGGTTAATTTCCAAACCATATTTCCTTAAATGAACTGATTTCAGAAGTCTGGCTTGTAGGCCGGTGTGGGATGTGTAGGACTCCCTCAGAGCACTGAGTCATGGATGCTTAAGCAGCCGGTCCCACTCAAAACCCACACAGCATGCCTTACAAATCTAACAACTTACTCACTAGTTCAACTTTCAGTGCAGACATGGGCTATTCACAGCTTATATTCGTTTTTCATGACCTGTCATAGGAAACCAAAACTGTTCATTGAATAATGATGGTGTACTAGGCAGGTTCACTTATTTGGACCTGCATTTTTGCTGTTTAGGGGAAAATTAAAGGTGATTTACCCTGATCTGGTTGTCGACAAATGCATGATCATCCCTCAGAGGATCAGAGAGAAGATCAGTAAGGAGTGGGGACCACCTCAAGTACAGCTGCCAAGTGCTGATGAGGTAAGAGAAATTCACTCCATAACATCATGCTGGCCTCTTACTCACTCTTTCAACTAGTGTTCAGTGGTTTAGCCTTTAACCTGTGGTTAATAATGGTCCTCTGCCAGGCTAGAATGTGTCATAATATAAACTTGGTGAAGTGTGGGCTATTTTTAGATGTTGTTATAATACTTTCTCCTGCTACAGTTTATCTGTAAGGAAGCCATGTATAGGTTGATTTCCTGACAAGTGGCAAATTTAGCCACTGATCTGTGTTTGAGCCTCACACAGCAATACTGGCTCAATGGCAATGACACACTTTAGCTGTAAATGCATTATGTTTCAGTCAAAATAGAAAGGTCTTTAATGCTAATTAGATGGTTGTTTTCCACTTTATCTGTTATTTTAATTACTTAGGAGTTTATGTTTTACCTTCATTTGAAGTCATATTTTGTATTGTGTTATTCTGGTCGGTTGTTCTTCTATTATGTCTCCAGAAGATGGCGAAAGTGTTCCATAACTAAGGCATATGTTTGCTGAAATGAATTCATGTTATAGACACAAAACTCTTTTTGAGTATGACATAGAAATGTCATGGATATCTTTACTGACCTTATGTGATCCGTTTTGATGCCTTTAAGTTTGTCTTCAGCCGTGTTTAAGGTATTGAAGGTGATTCAGAGATTTATTTTTTCATTAATTAAAGTCTGTGTATCAGTGCTACAGTGCTTCCAGGGAGTATATATATATATATATATATAAACAATCTGATGCAGTGCTTATTATTTACCACAAAACCAGTCATAAAGATCAATTGTTTGAAATTGAGATTTATACATCATCTGAAAGCTGAATAAATACGCTTTCCGTTGATGTATGGTTTGTTAGGATAGGACAATGTTTGGCAGAGATACAACTATTTGAAAATCTGGAATCTGAGGGTGCAAAAAAATCAAAATACTGAGAAAATCGCCTTTAAAGTTGTCCAAATGAAGTTCTTAGCAATGCATATTACTAATCAAAAATTAAATTTTGATATATTTACAATAGGAAATTTACAAAATATCTTCATGAAACATGATCTGTACTTAATATCCTAATGATTTTTGGCATAAAAGAAAAATCGATAATTTTGACCCATACAATGTTTTTTTGACTATTGCTAAAAATATACCCCAGCGACTTAAGACTGGTTTTGTGCTCCAGGGTCACACACACACACACACACACACACACACATATATATATATGTATCTATATATATATATATATATGCATCAGCATAATTACAGTGGGTAGTAATATTTGCATTTTGAGCTTTTGGTTTGTCCCAATATCCTTCTCCACAACTTAAGTCTAACTTTAAAATAGCTTTTCTTTCAAAATCAATATATTGAAATCAATCATATTTAATTAAACTAATGTCATAGTAATGAGAAGAAGAAAATTAAGAATAACGATGCTGCTGATGATGATGATGGTATGGATCTTTATCTTTAGACATTTACATTTACAACTTTAAATACCAATGTTTTCAGATTCCTCTTTTTACAATTTTAAACGTACTCTAAGTTGTCTTTTCAAGGCAATCATTTTAGATAAAGTAAGAGACAAAGAGGCCATCAATATGACTGAAGAGCCGTTGGACAGCTGCTATATCTGGCAAACTTTGTCCGTCTCGCTAGATTGGTATATTTGAGTTTAGAGCAGCGATGCTGTGCCAATCGTTCTGGTAAACTTGAAATAGAATCAACTGTGGCGGAGAAGCGACGGTAGGGATAACGGCCTTTGAAATCTCATGGTTTGTTGTGGCGTTGAGGGTGCAAACGCGTTAGAGTCTGTCGCATGCACTGTCATTTACTTCTTGACTATGCCATTGCACTCTAAGAAATGTATGACTAGCTCTGTCGTTATCAAGCACTCGTAATTCAAATTATTTTAATCTCAGGCCATTACAAAGATAATTGCATCTTTGTCTGGCACTTTTGGATGCCGTGTCAAAAATAGTTTGTTTACAGTAATGATTGATGAACTTGGACTGTTTTAGCACATCTTGTTTTTCTTAAAATTGGCAACACTTTTTATAATGATCTAGCATACCTGTTTTTTTGTCACATTAAAACTGCAGTCATAAATCAGGTAGTAAAATACCATTAGACGCTGGCTTTGGTAAAGGGATGGAAATTATGTCATAATTTACTCAATCTCATGTCACTTCTGTTAGTCTTTAAACACAAATGAAGATATGTTTTAATAAAACCTGAGCGATTTTTGTCCCTCCTTTGAATGTCCATAACCTGATGCTTTAGAAAGTGAACTCAACCCTCAGCTTGACTTGAACTTGATTTTCACTCAAGCAACCATAATGCTTTAGTGCTACTGCCGTCCAAATGTCTCCAAAAGTCATAACACTTTCATCAGAGTAATGTGTTTGAGTGAATGTTTTGTCATTTGCATACGGTAGGGATAACGGCCTTTGAAATCTCATGGTTTGTTGTGGCGTTGAGGGTGCAAACGCGTTAAAGTCTGTCGCATGCACTGTCGTTTACTTCTTGACTATGCCATTGCACACTAAGAAATGTATGACTAGCTCTGTCATTATCAAGCACTCGTAATTCAAATTATTTTAATCTCAGGCCATTACAAAGGTAATTGCATCTTTGTCTGGCACTTTTGGATGCCGTGTCAAAAATAGTTTGTTTACAGTAATGACTGATGAACTTGGACTGTTTTAGCACATCTTGTTTTTCTTAAAATTGGCAACACTTTTTATAATGATCTAGCATACCTGTTTTTTTGTCACATTAAAACTGCAGTCATAAATCAGGTAGTAAAATACCATTAGACGCTGGCTTTGGTAAAGGGATGGAAATTATGTCATAATTTACTCAATCTCATGTCACTTCTGTTAGTCTTTAGACACAAATGAAGATATGTTTTAATAAAACCTGAGCGATTTCTGTCCCTCCTTTGAATGTCCATAACCTGATGCTTTAGAAAGTGAGATTGTAAAAGAAAATCGATCATATCTCTTCAGAAAAGTTGGATTAAATCGCACATTGCATGTGGATTACAATATCTTTATGAATTTTTTGAAGTTTTGGTGGATTGGACTGTCAATGGAGGCACAGAAATCTCTGAAGTTTCATTAAACCTTTATTTGTGTTTCAAAGATGAACAACATGAGGGTGAGTAATGATGACAGAATATTGCATTTTTAGGTGAACTATATATCCTTGTAAAACTGACCTTATTAGGACTAGTTTAACAGGCATTAGTACTAATACAAAAATGTGTTGATGAATGAACTTCATCAGTGCCAGTGTGCTTTTTAAATGTATTTACTCTCACACATGCAAAAAAGAAAGTTCAATTGGATTTCATAAATGGTCTTTTATAAATGGGATTTATTATGTATGGAATATTCTTTGGTTTCTCTTGTAATGATACCACATGTTCTCAGTTTGGAGAACAGACTATTGGCAGCATTCTGTGTACCAACACTTGTGTTGTAACGCTTGTGCCATTTTCCAGACCCACAAATATCCTCGATTCATGTACATCATCAAAATGATTTCTTATCTATGAAAACGAGGCTTTGAGAAGTACAGTGTGTTCAGTGGATTGTATTGTTGTCTAACGACATACTAAATGTTCAGATGACGAAACATCTTTCTAAAAAAAAAAATTTATCCATAGACATAAACTGCATAAAACAGTTTTGAATGGTCTGAGTTGATAAAAACCTTTATAAGGTGCTTTCCATTGTAAAGACTGGCGTCCGGCCTGATTAAATTCTATATGCGATATGATTTGAGATCTTGGTACTTTTGAAGATTCATATGAACTTATAGAAAACAATTGCTATACTGATAGTCAATAATTGTTTTTAGGCTTTGATTGATACCCAGTGTGATGGCCAATATTATATACAGTTTTGTCCAAAATTAATGTTCACAATAAAGCCCCCCAATATGTATAATTTTACATGAGATAAGTTGTTTTTAACGGCGCATCCAGAGACAATTTATCCATTTTCACTGAGAAAGAAATACCTGGATAAAATCACAGCTAGTCAAAACAAATGTGATGTTTAATGTACAGGTAGGTATGAAAAGCAGGATTTTGGGCTAATGATATTTCAAGGTGGGCGGAGCATAGCGCAAAGCCGCATAAATAGAATCCAAGTGATTAAAAAAATCTCCTGTTGCTTGTCGCTGCAACTTCTTCAAGAGTTCATACTCTCTTAAAAATTCCAAATTGTTTCCAAATTAGAAAAGTTCCAAAAGGGAGGTTTTGAAGCAATTCCGTTTAGAAGAACCATATTGGGTTCCCAAAAGAACCTTTCAGTGAACAGTTTTTGTCATTAGAAGAATCCTTTTTTTTTTTATTCCACTTTATAGTGGAAACATTTTCCACTATAAAGAACTTTTCGTGCAATGGAAATTTTACGTGGATGTTAAAAATTCTTCATGAAGAGTCTTTACTTTTTAAGAGTGTATTTTACCTGCTATATATATTTGAGTTGGAAATAATCCCCGATGCTATTCCAGTATCGACTAATATTACTTATAAGGTCATTGATTTATCACGCATTCTTACTTTAAAGCATCTGTGAGGCTGCGTTTGGCATCGAGCAGCCTGTGATCTCGAACATGCTGCATGTTCTTACAGATATCTGGAGTGTAGATGCTTATTTAAACGTCTGCATAATCTCGTATTCTGGATGAAGGTGCGATCTGCCACGTGTTATTTGCTGATCGAGAAGTATTTTGCGTAATTTGCAGAACTTCTCAACTCCATCCCATTTCCCCGAGCTCTTATCGGGTGGTATTTTAGGACGTGACTTATTCCTCAAAAATCACGTTAACTTTTTAGGCTGTCGCCCCCCGCAGCTGTCGAAAGTCTCTTTGGCATAGGAAAGCAGCGGCTGTGGTTCATATGGAGACTTCTACTGTTTTATTCGGTGCTTAAGAGAGATGAGCATGAGGTTTCTAAACCATTACAGTGATTAGAAAGCG